CATGATCTGTTCTGGTTCCTATAGTCAGAGTGATGGGCAAGTTTTCTGGCAGCCAGCAGAAGAGTCAAATTAAAGTATAAGAAAGTTAAATACAAATCTTGCATAGGAGAGCTCCCTAGAGTTTCATACATTTCTTTTGCATGAATTATTCTTTTGGAGTTTCAAACTATATCAAATCAGTGTTGTAATGTACAGAAAATCACTGCACTAAGCATAACAGAAATTCAGATGTGAAAACCACTCCTTTGAAGTGCAATTGTAAGCATTGCAAAAAATCACTTCAAAGTGTCTGTAAAATTTAAAAAAAAAAAAAAAAAAGAAAGACTGCATTAATTAGCCCTTAAAGACTGTCAAATGACATCATGGGCACAGGTCTGATAACTGCCAAATGAAAACAAAACAAAACAGCCCACAAAGATAATTTCCAATAAAAATAACCACAATGCCCGTTTTGTTTCAGTAAGGTAAAAGCCGTACAACCACATTCTACATTTGGATAAGAATGTTCCTATGTTACTTGTATTTCTTGAAGTGAATAGTGTTCATTTTAGCTGCAAAAATTCAGTTCGATTCCCAGCCATCCCCATCGAGAGTAAAATACATAATACCTAGCATTTAAAACTCACTTTGTAGTACATGCTCATGTGGAAAAGGTGGATGGGGATTTTTTTTACCTAAAAGCCAAACCCAGCTGCTGGTTAAGAAGGCCATGGCTGGATGACAGCGCCTGTCCACCTGCTTGCAGCTGCTTATGGTCATGCCCAGCTGCATTACGAGAAAGTCATGAATCTGCTGGAGCTGTGCAAACAGGTTGCTGCTGTGGGTGGCTGTCAAGAGCTGCTGTGGCAGGATGACAGGGATGGAAGCTGGAAGAAGCTGCTGTAACACCAGAGGCATTGCTCCAGGGTCTGACTGACTCTGCCTGACAGCCTGGGCGTGGTGTGAGAAGAGATCTAACGTTAGCAACCCACGTAATTACCTATTATGCTGTGTAATTACCTGTAATTGCCTATTATTTATAAAATGCCATATGCATGGAGTATTATTAAAAATTTTCTGTGGTAGCATAGTCCTGTTCTTGTCAGTGTTTCTTGACAGTCGATCTGGACATTAAACTGGTTCTGACATAACTTTTGGTCATCATTTCAACCTCTTAAAACGGACAACTCAGAAACAAAACACATAAACTGAATGCTGAAAACATGAAAACCAAATACTGATTATTCTAACATTAAATTTTGGAAGAAATATATTTTTACTTCGCTTAGCCCAAATCTCTCCTCAATATAGCTCTGATAGGGAAGATGCAAGAAAAATACCTATCATCAACCATGAGAATCAATATCCAGTACATCCTGAACAATATGTAAATTATGTAGGAGGTTCTAAATATAAGTGATATATTATAAATGATACAGCAAACTTTAAACTAAACCCAGACAAAAAAAGGAAAATGCTACTTTTGTAAATACATCCAAAGACCACCAGGTGTCTCTGTAATAAAAGGAATGTAAAAATGTGATTTTAAAAAAAAAATATTCAATCTCCAAAAGCTGTTCTAAAAACTAAAGTTATATGGAAAGGTGAAATGTTAATACATGATCAGCCAAATTCTGCTGCCAGTGTCAACAGTATTCATGCCATCACAATTATGTTCTTAATTCAGATTCTACTTCATGTTGCGTCTTGCAAAACCTACAAGCATTCTCATGCAAAGCATGTAAAAAGATCCCCAAAGTGTAACAGAACATGTGCAATTATCTGTTCTTCTAATTAGATATGAAATTATTTCACTACAAGTTTATCACTACTTTGAATTTAACTATGATTAATGACGATCGTGTTACTGGTTTAGTCCATTTTACGAGACAGACTTAGGCTGTATCTATAGGAAGGTACTGACACAGCTGAAGTGGTGCAAACCCACTATCATAGATGCAGTCACCATGGGAAGATACTACATATCAGTACAGCTTATTCCTCTAATGGAAGAGAAATAAGCAGCACTAATATCAACTATTTATAGCAGTGTAACTTTGGATATTGTCTATTACAAAATTCAATACTGAACAATAGTTACTGATATTCTTGTCTGTAACAGTACTTGTATTACGCATGAAGACAAACACTTCTGTAGCTGGCCTGTAGTTATAAGAGTGCATAGAAGTGTTTTGTAAAAATGTAACAACACAAGAAGTGTTGGTTCACAAATGTACACTTATCACTTTCAAATTAAAGTACATATCCTCCATTCCTCTTCATTCCTACAGTCTATCTGGTTTATGTGAAAAGCTACTTGAGTAGTATTTATTTACATTTTTGTTTTGCTTAACACATCTTTGACAGAAGTTCTTAATTGTGAGCGCTGTAATCTTAACTGTTTGATAAAAGGTAAATACCAAGGAGGTGAATATTCTCAAAGTACAGAACACCTGTACCTTACTAAGTAATAAGAAACATATTTTTCCATACCTTGAAAAAGAAAACTCTTAACTTTGAAATTACTAAGTTAATTCTGGGACTACTTCTACTAAAATTGAAATATATGTTTTTCCACACATTCTCAGATTTCATGTAACAGCAGGGAAAACATGAATAGCTGGAAAACATTTTGTATAAAATCTTTGTGTAAATCTTCAGAAATAACATTTTGTAAACTTCATTTTGATGTTTACATGTTTCATGTTCTATAATAGCAAATATTTAGTAAATAATATACAATGAAGTCAAAATACACAGCAAAATTTATATAAAACAAGTAGTAAAATATACCCCAAAACAGTAGCATCAAGAGATACTACTGGTGGCAAAATTAGAAGGCATGTGAATTTCTTGGTTTGCCTTCTTTATTAGATAGAACCCATTCTCTCTTCAGCTTCTCAGCTTCCTGAGTTTTCGTAACTCGTAACTTCTTCCCTCCCTGTCATAAGCTCTTGATGTAGGCTGCATTATCATCTTACCAACAAATCTAGCTCCAAAACTTTGTCCATCTCAGAATGCTCTTCCATCTTCTTCTATGCCTCTTTTTCTTGTTCAAGCTCTCATTTTGCCTTCTTTCCTCTTTTTTCCCCGTCTTTCTTCTTTTCTCTCTTTCCACTCTTCCATCCTCTCTCTACACTTTTAGTCTGATCATTCCCTACAACCTTTCATGCCTGGCTGGGCAATGCTGGGAAGTCTCCTTTAGCATGGTGTCACAGATATTCTGTTCACTGTATAATAATAAAGATGTGCACAAAGAACTTCAATATTCTAAGGATTTTATTTATGCCTATGTGTATTGAAATCGACCTTGGTATCCTGTTGACAATGTTAATGAATCTTAGACAGGAAATTATTTGAAAGAGATTATTTCTATTAAGGCAAAATTCCAGACATTCCAGTAAAAATAAGTCCACATTGTATAATCTAGACAGAGTTACAGATAAGTCCTCTTTCCTGCCCTTCACACAGGGCAAGAAGAGTGGACAACCTGCACAAACAGACTGAAAATCTTGCAACAGCAAAAAAGCTCTGAAAAGCAGCCTTCAGCAGGCCACGAGGCAAAGCTTGTATCTTGCCTTTGTTGAACCTCCCCATCTATTAGACTCAAAAAAAGAACTATCTGGGACAGGAGGACCATTAAATCTTCCTACACAACATGGATTGGAAGGAGCCTTCGAAACCTTGTACGTGAACTTGTCTGTTCAATTTCCAATGTTTCATTGATTGCTGATCTCCCTATAATTCCCACTTTTTCCTGCAGTACCTCCCAGGATTTCAACAGTATTCTCTGTGGTTTTTGCTTTTTATCCTTCTCTGTCTTTTCTTTCATACCTCCTGCTCAGTTCATTTACCAAAGTCATCCCTTTTCTTCTCTGATTATCTTTCTTACACTAAACTCCAGTGAGTTTAGTAATCGATTAATAGTATTTTTTTCAAATGAAATGTTCATAGTAGAAATAATACAAACACAAAACCCCCTTGAGATTTCTCTAGACCTCATCTGTCATTATCCTATTTATTTCTTTTGCATGTCACATGCTTTTCCCACGATACTTTGTTACTTGGCTTGAGTGCAAGAACTATCTTTTATATGCATATCACATCTTAGGCAGTAAAGCGGCACTTAAGTTGTATAAATAAATATAGCATAGTATTGTGTTCTGGGTGTACATAAATTTAGTTACAAAGAAGTAAATATACAGTGACTCCTTCAATTTCAAAATAATATAGCTCAAGAACAGTGAACAGGCTTGCAGAAGACTTTGGCTCACAAAATGCAAAAGTTAGGAAGAGCATATTCCATTATTTGCAGAGAGAATAAACTTCAAAGCTGACAAAAAGGACTTAAACGATGTGCAAATAGCTTTATTCAAATCTATACAAAACTATATAAAATGTTTCTTTCACTTTAAAAGTTATTTAAAACCAACTGTGAACTGTCTGAGTAAGAGAACAGGATTATGCTAATTTAACAGTTACTTGGCTATTCCCATTTTCTCCCATATGGATTTTCCACTAAAGGATTGATGGGGTAAATTGTTTTCATTGTCTCAGTCTAGACAGCAGCTAGATTAGGATCAAAACAGATGCCAGCTCTCATTTGGTCAGGCATACAGACATCACTTAGCTAACTGTGGTATACAGAAAGTGAAATGCTGTGGAACAGAAATTCTCTGTATTCAGTGAACAATTCTCATAGTTTATCCAATACAGATGTTAGCAACTTATGAAACTCCTATTGATGGGGGGAGGGGGGAAAAAAAAGTGAAATAGTCTTATCAAGACGTGTAAATGCTGCATAATCTTTCAGTGAAACACGGCTAAGAAAAAGACACGTCCACCATAGGCCAGAGTCAGATACTTTCGAATTCTAATGTGAGCTGTGGCATACACTCTCAGGTCTTGACCTGTTTCTCAGTCAATAAACCTATGATTGGCAGTTGGCTTTTCCAAAGGGCTGGACAACTCTGAGGATCATTTGATGAATCCAACGTGCTACACCCACAAAGCATTAAGCGATGGCCTCACTAGGCCAGGTATGGCCTAGTGAGGAAGGTAATGAATAGCCAGGTTTTTTTATTTTTATTTAGCATTTTTATTTTTTATTTTTATTTTTTATTTATTTATTTTTTATTTATTTTTATTTAGCATTTTTATTGCTAGAGGACAATGTGCATCTACAGATGTGCAGAAAGACGCACACATGCGCGCACACACAGAGCGGCTCAAAAGTGAGGCAACTGCAACGTTTGCTGCTTGTAGACCATACCATTAGAAGAAGAGACATCAACACTAAAGTCAGAAGAACTGAATTGTCACTGGAAAGAATCTAAGCTGCTCCAACAAAGACAGCAAACATTTGCATGTACAGCTGAGGAAAGGAACTCCAGTATAGGGCAGGAAGACGTATGTAAGAACTTACACTGAAGGAGTCAAAACTGGAAAGGAACAGATCATGGAATCACAGAATGGCTGATGTTGGAAGGGACCTCTCGAGGTCATCGGGTCCAACTCCTCTGCTTGAGCAGGGTCACCTAGAGCTGGTTGTTAAGGACCATGTCCAGGCAGCTTTTGAATATCTCCAAGGTGGGAGACTGGTGGGCAGTACTCGGTCACCCTTACAGTGAAAAAGTGATTCCTGACATTCAGAGGGAGCCTCCCGTTTCAGGTTGTGCCCATTGCCTCTTGTGCTGTCACTGGGCACCACTGGAAAGAGCCTGGCTCAGTCCTCTTTGCACCCTCACTTCAGGTACTTATACACATTAGTAAGATTCCCCTAGGCCTTCTCTTCTCCAGGCTGAATAGTCCCAGACCTGCTCTAACTGAACTTCTTAAAAAAAGGTTTCTCAGCTGGATTACTTGCCCTTCCAGGACCTGCAGATCTGTACTGAAAGAAAGACAAGCTAGTTGAAGACAGGAAAGACTATAACAGGTTTGAAAGAATGAGGAAAGCTAAAGAGAATGATACGGACATTAAGCAGCAGGCAGCAAGCCCGTGTTTTTCATAAGCGTGCTGAAGGAGGGATGATGACATAGCATCATCTGTCAGCGGTACGGAATGAGCTCTACCCATGGAAGACAGCTGGCAACATGACAGGTGCTACACCTTTTCTGCTGAAACTCACCTTCCAAGGAATCAGAGTATTGATTTTATTGAATGATAGAGCCTGGCGGGCTCCAACTCTGCAGACCACTGGAGGTGACAACGTCCACCCACGCCGCGTCCCGTCACCGTGTCACAACTGCCCC